TGGGGCCGGTTTTACAACTACTGGATATCACCCCATGAGTGTTGGGGCATACAACCCGGCCAGCATGTCTTTCACAAAACAGACAACAAACGAGGCCCTGCATGTAGACTTCATTAAGCAGGATTCCTCGAACGCGGATAGTGCCTGCAGCACCTTCGTCCTTGAAAAATCACAAGAATTCACTGGGCCAGGGGTTGAGCAGCTAAACGATAGCATCAGGACCTACGTATGGGCGATCATGGGGTCCCAAACTCAGACAAGAACACGCATCCTTAGGACCGGCACAGCATTCAATACCTAGAAGCAGTTCTTAGCGAACCTGAAAGACGCCATCTCTTCCCTGGTGGACCTCCCTTCAGCAATCAAGCGCTGTCAAGATGTGTTGCAGTATGCTGGCTCCAAGGTCAACTCTGGCTTTGGATTCGGGGTCTACATGGCCCCAAGCAACATGCTGCTATGTATAGGCCAAGTAGCAGGGTACAACAACAAGATTGGTATCGCATCAGAGGACCAAAGACTTGGCGTGAACACCGGGATCAATGTGTCAGACGTCCCACCAAGCCACACAACGGGAGAAATCGGTCTGGTAAAGCCACAAGAACCATCCGCGGGGGTGGCTTCTGGCGGAACGTCAGAAAAAACGGGTCTAGTGAAGCCACAGGACACCGTGCCCCCCCCCCCGCCACGAAACACGAAGATGAAAAAACTGCCCTTATAATGGGCAGGGTCGCCATTGGCCTACTCGCGCTTTGGCTTCTTTGTTGATGGCACCGCCAGCCAGTCGCGGGCTGCAACTAGGAGAAGCCCTCCGACTGCGAGGGCCATGGCCCACAGGTTTTCGGCCAGTCACCCAGTCGTTTTGCGAGAAGGGTGAGAAGCCAAGAAACAATGGAGCCAATGATCCCCGGAAGAGCTGCGGCTGCTTCTCCTGCCAGCTTGGCAAGAGCACTTCCAAGGGCCTCCTTGAGGGCACCCTCATCCGACGGTGTCGGAGGAGGAGGCGGGGGTGTTGCACCACCACCCCAGGTCTTCTCCAGCACCAGGGTCAAGATCGCCATCCCAATCGGCATGAGGATAGATGCGATCGTGACCCCTTGCTCCAGGAAGAGGGTGTGAAGGCGCTTGGCAAGCGTCGTGTCCTCATTGAGGATCCCGTTTATCGTCTCTTGGATTCGGTTAATCTGAGACCGGAGAGCCGCTCTGTTTGTTGAGGGTCGCTCATCTTCTCGGTTGCGCTGCGGCTTCTGGTAAACTCATCCGCCTCTTCTGACTCTTGCAGCTTCCTCTTTTCCAGGGGCGATGTGCTCATCCAGCTCGGACAGTTTGGCCAGATTATTTGTCAGCTCACCTCGGATTGTCTGCATGGTCTTGTCGAGCCCCGAGCTCGCGGAGATTTAGTTGGGGGGGGAGGAAGCGGATACGAATATATGAGAGTTCGGCGGCGGCTGACTATAGTCGCTGAGCTGACAGACAGAGTGGCAAGACTTATTCATACGAATTCAGAAATGGAATGCGACAATCTCATCGATATGCTGCTAGCGGAGATGGAGCCTGCCTCGACAGAGCAAGCGCTGGGCCCTAGCATGGGGCACAAATGAGAGAGGCTAGCTGTGCTGGCTGCTCGCAGGCAGACCAGACAGTATCTGAGAACGCCCCTTACCATTGACCAGATCGACGCCATAGGCGATGAGGAGGTCGAGAAACTCTATGCGCGCTACGAGGTGCGACCTGGCGCGGCCATGACAAAGAGTCTTGGGCAAGCCGCGCTGCAGCTAGATGCCCCCGTAGTTGCTGGCACGGTTCTACCGATCCCCCCAGAAAAATCAACCAAAGTTGGTTGCTGACCTCGAGAGCGACCCGTTTGTCGGGCACGCACTGAGCAGTGCCACATGCGAGCTATACCAGCAGCACAGCATGTACTTAGCTCCACTCACAGCGGCCTTGACGACCGCTAAGTATCGCCAATTTGGACGCACTTGCCCCCACCCGATAGAAGATAAGCCAATTGACAGTGAGAGTGACTGTGCCGCTGCAGGATCCGGAGCCGCAGACTTCTAAAAAATGCGGCGCGCCAAGAAGTCCCCAAAAAATGTGGCCGCAGGGAGGGCCGGGGCCGCCGCCAGAAAGGCTAAGCAGGAAAACCTCCTGGCCGCGCTTCAAGAGGCTAAGATGCCTATCTCGTGCCCGTCAGTTCCGCAAGAAAAAACCACGGGATCTCCCCACCCTCCCCCTCCCCCTCCCCGCACCGTAGCCGCTGCCGCAGGGGATAAACAGAACACCAGCCCGCTCACGCAAGCGCGGCCTGCGGCGACAGAGCAGGCCACATCACGAGAGTCGGCGGACTGGACCCTCTGGATCATTGGGGGTCTTGGGTTGGCAGGCGCGGTGTGGTTTCTACAGTCGTCTCGGCAAGGCCAACAGCACACGGCAGGGTCGCAGGCGCAAAAAACCGAGCCCCGCCCACCCGCCGTTGAGCAATTAAAGCCATCTCCGAACCCTTCCTATACAGTAGACCCTTTCTACATGCAGTGAGTGTTATTGTCGCAGCAACAAGTGACGAAACATATCTTCTCCTAGCGCTGATGGAAAAATGCTAGTCAATACGCTATACCACAGCACCATTGTCTCTGGTCTGGTGATGGGCTACTCTCACCTGGGCAAGATGGTCGTTGGCAGCCTGGCACCCAAGCTTGACTTCACCCCCCATGACGTTGGCATGGTTGTCGTCGATGTGACTCTGGCCATGGCGACAAAGGACATGCTAATTAAACAGGGCATCATACCTGCAGATATTATGAAGTAACGCAACAGCAACATGGCCTCGATTGCAATGCTTGTCGGGGGGGGGGGGCCCATTGTGAACGCCCTGGCCTTCAGCGGAAGCAACCACCCTCTTCTCAATGCTGTGAAGCTCGGAGGCCGATGCAGAGCGTGAGCGCCATGATAAAGCCATAGAACAATTACAAGCTGCGCAGGCCGAATGGTCTCGAAAATGGACCGAACGCCTCAATTGGATCAACGGGGAGCTTCGCCGGCGAGGCCACGCCGTACAAACTTTCCAGGACATCAACGCTGCGATCCATGAGTATGCCCTGGTCACGGGCAAAATACTTGACCCCCTTGGCTGTGAACCTCAGCTTTCAGACTATTATACGCCGTCAGATGGCCAAAAGGACCGCGAGATTGCCTTCATCATCGCGGGGATGGTCGCGATGGGCCTTGTTGCCTACAAATTTGCCAAGTAATCCGAAAAGACCGTGTTTCATCTGCCCCGCTGCGTTTTGGGGCAGCACGCTGACACGACTGGAGTCGTGATGCTCGAGTTTTCGATTTTTGGTTTTTTTGTGCACCTGTGTATAGGATCGTGGGAATCCTTGAAGAACTCTATTGTTCTGCACGGGTACTGCACGCGGAGGCATAAAATCCCCGGACCTCTGGCTCACACTATGATTGACACGGCTCAGAAATCACTGGAGTTGTGGCACCGAGATGAGCCTGCAGCAGCTCGCTGCGCGGCTATGTCGCACAAAAGCCCTCTCCGCCTGCAAGTCACACTGTCGGCTTGGAAGAGCAAAAGCTCCCCTCTGGTGTTAGGGTGAGATGCCTGTACCAGCCAGGTGAGTTGGGGGGGGGTGGGGTCGCCACTGTGCTACTGACCCTGTGCGTTCCCTCCAGGTTTACAGGCTGGGAAGGTCAGTGACAAAGGCTTATGATCCGGTCCTGTATTACCTTCAGGACGGACCAGCTCGTGGCTTTGTCCGGAAAGAGCTGCTTGTGGTACCTACCAATACCCAGCTCCTGCCAGATGGCGTTCTCACTCGTTGAGAGCTGCAGCCCCTCGTTTTCGGTTGCACTCTAGGCAACAAAGGCGCATGGTGCCCTTGCAATGCCCTTTACTGTTGTCCAGCTGGTCAGTGCTGAACTGCTGTGTGTCCTTGGGCTGGTAGGCCCAGAGCATTTCAATGTTACACGCTGCACAATGGTTCTGCTGGCTTGCTTTGAGCTGCAGGATGTAGTCTACCTGGAGGTTAAGCCCTGGGAGTCCTTTGGCCTGGTCCTGGCGCTTATAGGCTTCGAGCTTTTTCACAATGTTTTTGCGGCGCTGCTGCTCAGTGGGCTGCCTGATCTCAGTCCCCTCCACTGGTGAATAGGTCACCCGTTCCGTTCGAGCTGGCGCATGTACTTGACCCTAGAGACCGCGAGGTAGGCCAGGTTTGCCCACTGGAGGTAGTCGTCAATTATCCAGACCTTTTGCAGGTCGTGGATTGAGAGGCCCTGGGAAGAGTGGACCGTGAGCGCACAGCCGAGACACCAGTCGCTATGGGGAGACGCAGTGGCCTGCTCTGCAACCTCAATGGCGACTTCCACAATGTCGTTCAGGACAAGCTCTTCACGGTTCTCTGTTCCGGGGATTGTTACCATGATATTTTGCTTCCGGCTGTCCTTTGGGTGGTAGAGGAGTGGGACTGGAGTATCTGGGTATCGCTGCTTGTGGCTCTGGAACAGCAACTCCTGTGTCCTGTCTCTGACTTTTTGGCAGCTGGTGAGGAGGAGATCACCGGAACTCCACTGCTCCACGAATCTGTCCCACCCTAGGCAGCTGGGGAGCGCCTTTCTTGGCACTGGACCTTATTGGTTTGCAGACGAATTGCTCTTTTCAAAGCCTTGAGGGCGTCCTCCTTGGCTCTATGACTACTACGAGGAGGTTGAGGTCAACCAAAGTGCTCATGGAGCCAATCATGGGGCATCTCGCCCCCAATTGATGGGGGCTGGCCTTGGTCACCGCAGCAGATAACTTGGACCCCACGCTGCTCCAGCCAGGCTAGGAATGTTTCCAGGATGGGCCATGGGACTGTGCAAACCTCGTCCCAGATGATGACGTGGGGAATGAACTTCTGGCCCATTCGGTCTGGCATCCACTCATTCTGACCACTCCATCGGAAGAAGCTGTGGTAGATCTGGGCCTTGACGCCTCTGGCCCGCATCTCCTTGGCCAGCCGATGCATCGGGGTGAACACCAGGGGGTCTCTCACCCTGAAGAGCTCGATCGCTCTCGTCTTGCCCGAGCCGCCACCGCCATTGAGATAACTCAGCTGGTGGTGGGTGAGGGGGAACGTCTTTTCTTTGGCTGTGGTATTCTGGCTTGGGGAGGTAGGTGGTGTCCTCCTGATGGCAGTTTACCCTTGTCGCGCCACTGGGCTGGAGCTATCAGCAGGAGGTACTCTTCACCATTG